CAATAATATCTTCTCTATTGTGCGCCACAGGAATTACATTTGGATTCAACCTGGTTCTATGGAGGGTGCTATTTGATAAATCCCCATGATGAAAATGTTTTTCGCATATAAATTTATTTCTTAATTCTTCATGTTGAAGAGCAAACAGCATACTATTCCCGCTATTTAAAATCCATTCTCGCATGATAGATTCATTTTTGTGGAAATGGAAAAAAACGATGCTAGCATCCTTCCAAGTAGAAGGGCACCCAAAGTAGGAGCACTTTGCACCTCTTCTCGCAGGCATGGTAACAAGAATCTAAAAATTAATATTACTTAAGAAAAATGTATAGTATGCTTTAATATTTCCACATCAAAAGTCTTTGGACATCAAATTACATTGTCTACACGACACGACAAGAGGGAAACGGCGAAGGGAAAAATCGTTTTTAGTTGGAAAAAATATTTGCACAATCGCTCGGCGGGGCGGCAGGTAGCTTAAAATACTACCTGACCATTAAGTCGCGCGCCCGCTGCGGTTGAGTAAATATGCCACAACATATATCCGCGGTGCGGTACTCTTTGATTAATGAGAATGAGTAGATGAGCTTATCAGACATTTTAATGCAAAAATGTTAGGGTAGACCGGGGCATAGAGTAAACAACGTTATTTACTCTATGACCGGGGTCAGTAGAAACAGGGTACGGTTGAAACAGCGCTAGTAATTCAAAAACTAATATCATATCGGGGCGCGCGCAAGGAGTAGGAGACGCTGCTTATGTATCGGAACCAATCGTGAGAAAATGGTGTCACTTCGAACGTAATCATATCGTGTCAAAGTAGTGGTTGTATTTTGGTGTGCAAAAGTAAGTATTTTTGTTGCATCAACTTCCATGGGCTACGTAGCTCATAATAGAGTGTTCACGGACGCACAAGAGAAGACTCTAGCGAAATATTTGATGCGATGTGCTGACATTTATTTTGGTCTACCCCCAAAAGAAGTGAGAAAGCTAAGTTACGAGTTAACTTTAAAGTATAACCTAAAACGGCCAAGTTCCTGGGATGAAAACCGAATGGCCGGAGAGGATTGGTTTAGTGCTTTTATGCGTAGAAATACGGAACTTTCATTAAGGGCTGCTCAAGCCACAAGTTTGTCCAGGGCGACTAGTTTTAATCGAACGAACGTGGATGCGTTTTACGACAATTTACAAAAAGTTATGGACCGTGATAGTTTCGAGCCACAAGACATTTATAATATGGACGAAACAGGCGTGACTACAGTCTAGCGTCCTGACAGAGTTGTTGCCAGACGCGGCATTCGTCAAGTTGGATCGGTCACTTCAGCAGAGCGTGGTACACTCGTTACGATTGCTTTCGCCGCGAATGCCATAGGAAACGTTATACCACCTCTATTTATATTTCCGCGTGTTCGGTACCAAGACCATTTCATAAGAGATGGCCCATTAAGTGCAGTGGGAACAGAAAATCCTTCAGGATGGATGCAAGACGAAGGTTTCATGCTGTTTTTGAAACAGTTTCAGAAACACACAAACTGTTCAGTTAACCATAAAGTGCTATTAGTATTAGACAATCATTCGTCCCATGTTCATATCAACGCATTGGATTTCTGTAAAGAAAATGGAATCGTTTGTCTGTCGTTTCCGCCGCACTGCTCGCACAAGTTGCAACCGCTTGATCGATCGGTGTATGGCCCATTCAAAAAAGCTGTAAATTCACAGTGTGACGCTTGGATGAGAAACCACCCTGGAAAGACAATGAGTATTTATGACATTCCTGGTGTGGTGGCCAGAGCTATGCCATTAGCTCTCACTCCTGGCAATATTCAGGCAGGTTTTAAGAAGACTGGCATTTATCCATATAATCGCGACATATTTAATGATCTTGATTTCGCACCTGCTTACGTCACTGATCGACCAACTCCGAACGAAGTGAAGCCCCAAGATGACAGTAATTTGCCAGAAACAAATAATAATTCGACTTCAATTGAGAAGCCAAACTCCAATTATGATTCTCAACACACACCAAATGCGAGTGATGTCGAAGAAAATAGTAATGAGGCTATTCTGGCGGAAGAAAGCGTTCAAGAAAGTACCACCTTTCAATTTCTTCAGCCTTCTCTACCTGCACCAATAAATCCTACACCACATGATAATTCAATCACAAATAGTAGAACAGATTCGCCGAAACTATCTACGAGTGATGAAGTCTTTACGCCCCACATAGTAAAACCCTACCCCAAAGCTCCACCCAGACAAACAGAAAACAAGGGAAGGAAAAAGAGAAAATCTACGATATATACAGATACACCGGAGAAAGAAGCAATACAAAAAGAAGCGGAGGAAAGAGAACGAAAAAAAGGGCGAAAGAAATGAAAGTCAATAGAAGCCTTAAATCAAAATGTTCTAAGACCAAAGGAATTAAAAAGATGAAAACAACTAAAAAACCCAAAGTGTCTTCTGATGAGGATGAAGAAGAGTATTACTGTTTGGTCTGCATGGAAAGTTATGGCACCAGCAGGCCAGGAGAGGATTGGTTGCAATGCACCGGTTGTAAAATGTGGGCTCACGAGGCCTGCACAGCTGGTGATCCTTTTTATTTGTGCCACAATTGTGAATCTGATTAGTATTAATTAGCTGTGCCTTGGCATTAATAAATGACTATATTATGTGATTTTTTTATGATTTACTCGTAATACCTATATTACCACATAATTCTATTTAGGTACTCTTGGAGCGTTACAACCAACCCCAATCACTGTTACAACCGTCGCGAGCATGGTGCCGGTTGAAACATTTTCAACGATTTTTGCAAACGCTTATAAATGGTTTTTGTAATTCTGATAAAGCCATTATAACATCATATATCTATAGTCTTAGAACGCAAGTTCAATTAGTGCATTTATACCACACGTTTACGTTAAAATGTTGTTATAGTGAACGATTTTGTCAAAAATGGTTCAACCGTCCCCGGTCTACCCTACTATAGGTACTTACCTACCTCAAAGACTATTCCAGTCCAGATACAACAATCGTCAATATAGATAGATGCTTCACAGAAACTCAAGAACGAAAGGCGGGCAAGCAACAAATTAATTAAACAATAACAAACTGAAACAACTAGTCCTAAACAAATCACAAAATAAATTCACCGATTACAAATATCAAATGCCAAAAATAACGAGTAACGAATTCGAATTGAGCACACTTTACCGCTTTAAATTTTCTGCAGCGACATCTAACGCATGAATCCATAAGCGTCATATTACAGTTTTAAACGATACGTGTTTATACTGCTCCGCAATAGAGGGCGCTTTTAAGTATACCTAAATTTGTTTCCCAAAAAAATGCATAAGGTTAGCAATCTGTGTATGTGTAGATCTGTGGTCTGTCTCTCTATCTGTCCGTGTGAACGATAACTTTGTTTAGAAATGTCCGATCGCTTTGACATCTTCGTTAGTTATGAACTGAATTACATGAAATTCAATATGGGAATGGTGCCCTTTTCGCATCTCGACCATTTATAAGCCGAATTGCAAACTTTTTTATTCAGTAAGTATTTAATAGTTATTTATGCAATGAGTGTATAAATGAGGCGTTTTATTGGTGAGTGAGATGTTTAGTCCACGAGCGCAGCGAGTGGACTAAATTCGAACGAACCAATAATCGCCGATTTATACATGAATTGCATACAACGTTTTTTCGTCGACTTCACTGGGGTAGGTAATTTTAAATTCAACTACAAGAAATTACAAACGAAATTATGAGCTCCGACGATTTTTCACTAAATTAGGTACAGCTATTGTCGTTGCTATAGTAATGTGTTGTTTTGTGCTGTACCGTCAGTCCTCGTAATCGCAGTGGAAGATTATGTTGCTTGCTCTGCTGCGGAGACGATTTTAACATTATATCCACTCAAATCAAAAGAAACTTATTGGAACGGTTTCGATCAGTCGGCAATTGATGGAATACAATGAATTTGAAAGGAGATATTTCCGAAAATGTCACGTTGACATTTTACCTTGAAAAGGTATGTGAAATTAGAATTCTTTTGCAACTGTACTAAAGTACGTGTATTAACAGTGAAAGATATGGAAATGTTCATCCCTGTGGTCGACGTACTCAATGTTGAAGGTAAAGTAACTGAATACCTTAACAGTACCTTATCCGAGGAGCTACACATACATACATCAGGATATGCTTTGCTGAGATCGTTTGGCGACCATACTGGCTGCTGATCTCACTACATTAAAACCGAGATTAAAATGGTTAGGTGGATGGAAGTTCTCAGCTGTTGCTGAAAGTGAATTGCTATATAATTGTCATTTCCCTTTAATAAAATGGTTGTTATGTATAAGTGGTTGCTAACGATTAATGGTTGCTAACGTATAATGGTTGGTTGCTAACCATTCATGGTTGCTAACGATTAATAAGCCTCATCATTGTACTCGTCACTAAGGAGTAATTTATACTGTTATCGAGAGGTCGACGAAAAACGAAATTTGATACATACGCCAGTTTCAAAATCTAGGTTTGCGCATGCGCAGTTCCAACTTTCTTATTTAGAAAAGCATTGAAATGAAATACTTCTTATAAACTGAAATTGAAGTAGCACGTCAAAAATGGATTGCACATTTGCAACGCTATCTTTCATATGGCCGGATTTTTACGATTTTAACAGAAGTTGCATCTTACAAATGAGAAATGCGCTTTTTGTAAATCGTTTACGATTACTTTTTAACTTGTTATTCATTACGCTACAACTTAACTTCTGAACCTTCTATTCTGCATTTTATAATTAAATCAATCATATTATATAAATTAGAATCCAATATGGAACCCATTTAACTATCCAAAAAGACCGCTGTTTGATTTTCTATGCTCCACCCTGCGTCACACGCATAGGGTTCGGTACCGTGCGAAGGGTTCCAAGAGATGCTGTCAAAATTTTAATTGTCTTGTAATTTGTATGTAATTGTACTAATAATGTTTTTCTTTTACAGTTTCACCAAACGCTGAAAACCTATTTAAACGATCGGGTGTGGGATTTTTATTTTTACGTATCAAAATCTTGGCCAGAGGAACCCGTGATACTACATTTCCCTGGAGTAACAAAAACGGTAAGTTTATTTATTTTATATGTTAAATGTTATTTAATTTATAAGAGTGTAGATCCTATTAAGGTGGCGTTTACATTGAAAAATTGGAAATTTGTTTCCACATAATAACTGCCTTCTGGGTACAAATTTTTTGTTGAAATATCATTCAATTAAATATACAGGGTGTAGAAACGGTTTACGCACCATAGGGATTTCAATACTAAATTTTATTCTCTAATTAATTTAGAGCAAAGTTATAAATAGGTTTCTTGTGGCTTGAAAAATTCTGCGTCCTGCCCATGTCTTCATTTATTGTTTGCAAAAAATAAATGAATTAGAATTTGCGTAAAAATCGCATTTTTCTTTCAATAATTTCACGGTAAAATCACTTGAACCATTTTCCTCCGCGGCGTTGGCAGAGTATATCGTCGACTTAGTAAGAAAACTACGTAGGTAAGTCCACAATTATGTTAAAATGACATTTTTCCCTTAACAATCATAGAAAACTGAGCTCTATAAACAGTGAAAATCTTGTAACTCCTAAAAAATAATAACATAATTTTTTAACCAAAACAGTAATTCTCGTAGTGTCTGTCCGTCTGTCCGTCCGTTAGCACGATAACTCATAAACGAATGGATAGATTAGGTGGATTCTTTATTAAATTTGTGTTCGTGAATTGGCAATGTAGCCCAAAAAATAAGGAAGGCCCTTTTGACATATCCGTGAGTTATGAACCGAATTGCATGAAATTCAATATGCGTATAGCTTTAGCCATATAATACGCAATTCCAAAAGTTGAGCCTAATCGATCAGCATTCACAGTGCCCTTTGCGCATCTCGACCCTTTACAGACCGAATTGCAAACTTTCTTATTTAAATGAAATTTGATACATAGCCACTTGGAATAAAAGAAAATTTAACATCAGTTTCAAGATTTGGTTTAACTTTCTTATTTATGGAAGCAATTATATGAAATACATCCCTATACACTTTAAATAAAAATAAAACTAACATCAGGTTTAAAATTAGGTTTTGCACATGCTATAGCCATACCCATGAGCTCGTTTGCTATATTTGTTTAATTTATTCTTTCATTAATGGTGACTACGCGACAACACGAGGGTGTTGGATAACATCTTACATCAAGGGGATATTGCAACAGAAATCTTTTTAGCGCATTTCCACAAAAATAAAAAAAAATGCGCTATTGTGGCCACTTTGTCCGTCCGTCCGTCCGTCCGTCCGTCCGTCCGCTAACTTTTGCGACGCTACTAGTTTTTTATCTTAAGAGCTATTGTTCTACTTTTTTCGCTATTTGGTTCGTTATGGTGTCGAGTCTTGTACCAAGGAAGGAATTTTTTCTGTACCGCTTACAAAAAAAGTTATTGTAAAAAAAACAAAAAACCGTTTTTTACATGTTCCATAATTTTACACTTTTGCCGTTTATTAACGATCCTAGAGATCGTTTATAATTTTGCATTGCTATCTGTCGCCTGCCGGTTGGTCTCTCCGTCTGTTCCTTTGTCTGTCTGTCCATCTATCTGTCCGTGTGAACGATAACTTTGTTTAGAAATGTTCGATCGCTTTTACATCTCCGTTAGTTATGAACTGAATTGCATGAAATTCAATATGGGCATAGATTTAGCCATATAATACGCAATGCCAAAAGTTGAATCGATTCAAAATTCACAGTGCCCTTTTCGCATCTCGACCATTTATAAACCGAATTGCAAACTTTTTTACTTATAAAAGTATTTGAATGAAATTTGATTCATAGGCACTTGGAATAAAGGAAAATCAAACGCCAATTTCAAAATTTGGTTTTGCGCATGCGCAGTGCCAACTTTTTTATTTATGGAAGAATTTAAACGAAATTTGATACATAGGCACTTGGGATAAAGGAAAATCAAACGCCAATTTCAAAATTTGGTTTTGCGCATGCGCAGTGCCAACTTTTTTATTTATGGAAGAATTTAAACGAAATTTGATACATAGGCACTTGGGATAAAGGAAAATCAAACGCCAATTTCAAAATTTGGTTTTGCGCATGCGCAGTGCCAACTTTTTTATTTATGGAAGAATTTAAACGAAATTTGATACATAGGCACTTGGGATAAAGGAAAATCAAACGCCAATTTCAAAATTTGGTTTTGCGCATGCGCAGTGCCAACTTTTTTATTTATGGAAGAATTTAAACGAAATTTGATACATAGGCACTTGGGATAAAGGAAAATCAAACGCCAATTTCAAAATTTGGTTTTGCGCATGCGCAGTGCCAACTTTTTTATTTATGGAAGAATTTAAATGAAATGTGATACATAGGCACTTGGAATAAAGGAAAATCTAGCGCCAGTTTCAAAATTTTATTTTGCGCATGCGCCGTGCCAACTTTTTTATCTATGGAACTATTTAAGTGAAATTTGATACTTAGGCGCTTGGAACAAAGGAAAATCTTAGTTTATTAGTTAGTTATAGTAAATTAGTTTTAAAATTTAGGTTTGCGCATGCGCAGTTCCAACTTTCTTATTTAGAAAAGCATTGAAATGAAATTCTTCTCATAAACTGAAATTGAAGTAGCACGTCAACAATGGATTGCCCATGTGCAACGCTATCTTTCATTTTTACGATTTTAACAGAAGTTGCATCTTACAAATGGGAAATGAATGCAAGTGGAAATGCGCTTTATGTAAATCGTTTACGATTACTTTTTAACTTGTTTACATGTGCAAGAGTAAAAAATTTATTGTACTGAGATTTAGAAAAACGTAAAAACACATTTAAGGGTATCAACGAATACTTACATTTCTGTTCGCCATGATTATGACGATTTGACTTGCTCTTTACCCAATGTACTCAATTTAACATTATACATTTCATTTTGTGACTCAAAATAAGATCGTATGGGATTGCCACTTACCAGTGGTATATATCTATTTAGTTTTTGATGGTGGTGAGCTATTATAACGTCATAATTGTACCAATATTATGGTGCACACATAAAGAAACCCGGTTGTCTGCTTACTGGTTATTCGGCTACCGACTATGAGCGCTTGTAGACGGCGCGACGTGTACAGAAGAGTCTTGTCAGACAGGCAGATAAATACATAAATATGAAGAAATTGCGGAAAATTAATCCATACAGTAGTTCTATAGTGGCTTCCGAGCGAATGTGGATAATTTTTAAAACATTCTCCACCAGCCAACATTATGAGAAAAACCAACTCACACTCTGCTAAAGAATCCTACAGAAGTGAATTGTTCTAGATGCGAATTTCTCGGAAGCTTTAATGTAAAATTAATATTAGGTAACGAAGATATATTCCATACTTTTGAATAACCCTTTAATATTTTTAATTTTGTAAGGGTAATGGTTATCTAAATCTTACAAACATCATTTAAAAGTCGATTAGTAATAATTATTTGAATTTTTCTCTGCGCGGATAATTATACCCGATTTTGTAGGCCTTGCTAAATATACACTGATACCAGATATGTATTATACGCATAATTGGATGCGCATATCATTCTAGTTTAAGACACCGAAACAATTTTATGATATCGTTCCTAGAAAAAGAAATATGATGATGTAAAGATAGAAGAACACGGATTTACTATCGTCGTTTCATCTTCAAAGATTTTAAACATTCCACGTGTTACTAAAATTTAACAAATATTATAATTTAATTGCATGTACCATTGACCACCTCTCATAGAAATTTCGTGGCTTTATGTTAAATGGATCTGGAGTAAAAAAATAAATAGTGGAGCCGCGCACGGATTTTCGATAAGGCCTTTGAATATAAAATTTTATATTCAAAGATAAGGCGTAATGTATTTAATGCGCCCCGAACTGACTCCTAAGGTCACGTGACTTTTTAAGCGCTCCGGACTGTAACACTGTAAGTATCGTAGGCGGCACTATCTCTGTGTTATATTTCCTTACGCTGAACGAATTGATCAGCATTTGAATTTTCACAAATAAAAACTCAGATTTTCCATTGTTGTTTGATTAAGTTATGGAACTTTCTTTATTGTTTGGAAGTTTCATTTCATGTTATTATTTTAGGAACGGTTAGGGCGTTGGTATTTGATATTCTTTTTGATTTAAAAGTTCTCTTAAAATTTCATCAGTTGCTATGAGAATAATTAATATTTCTACATTTATTGTATTACATGTGACCTCTCTTCGTTAATGAAATTCTTTGTCCCGCTGGGAATAGAATCTAAACAACATTCAATTGAATAAAATGCCAAGTTGAGGTCGGCTTCCGTAATACTTGAACATATCCAGCACCGAAAAATATTTTCATGGTTTGGGGACCACCGTAACTTATATACCCTACGTTCAAATTTAAAAATCGTTTGAAGTTTATTCCCCCAAGATACTCCACATTTCTGGCTCGGTATTGACTCGGTTTGATTTCTTATTTATTTATGAACGCACTTGTAGAAGACGCAAATGGATTCTTACTTGCCAATTTATGAAGGTCCTTTTCAATGGAATGTAATAAAAATAGAATTTCTTACGGTAATTGTAAATAAATGGCGTTGTCCGCCCTTGTGTCATTTATGAGTCAGCTCCTTCGTTGTATAGTGTAGTGTTTAAAACAAATCAACAATCGCTGGAGCACTAACGCTCAGCAGATTTTTGTTTGAGATTGAAGTATGAAAAGTTGCATAACTATTTTATTTTACTCGTAGTGGCCACCGTTCAACATAAAGAAAGAGAAATTTTAATTTTGTACCTTCTTACGAAGCCGTACACGGGCCATACACACACTTGGTGTTCTTATTCCAAAAATAAGTGGAAATTTCGACAAAAAAAGTGGAAACTTCGACAAAAAAGTGGAAATTTTCACAAAAAAGTGAAAATTTCTACAAAAAAGTGGAAATTCCCACAAAAAAATAGAAATTTCAACAAAAAAGTGGAAATTTCGACAAAAAAGTGAAAATTTCGAAAAAAAGTGAAAGCGGCGACAACAAAGCAGAAATTTGTCCTTCCCCCGCCGCCCCATTGAGT